TCCGCGGGAGGAGAAGGCGCTTCCCCCGGCCCCGGGGGGCACAGACCTCGGTCTCCCCTTGTCCTGTCCCTACATCCCTTGTCCAAAGCCCCTCTCCAGGTTTCCTGCAGCCCCTTCAGGCACTGGAGCTGCTCTCAGGTCTCCCCTTCAGGAGCCTTCTCTTCTCCAGGCTGCCCCAGCCCAGCTCTCTCAGCCTGGCTCCAGAGCAGAGCTGCTCCAGCCCTCGCAGCATCTCCATGGCCTCGCTTCAGCAGCTCCACGTCCCTCTTGTGCTGCTGCCCCACAGCTGGATCAGGACTGCAGGGGGGGTCGTCCCATAGAGCAGCAGAGGGGCAGGATCCCCCCCTGAGCTGCTGCTCATGCTCTGCGGGTGCAGCCCAGCACAAGGGGGGTGGTTCTGGGCTCAAGCGCAAACCGAAGCCAGGTCATGGGGACCGACATGAACTGACAGCCCCAAGTCCTTCTCCTCAGGGCTGCTCAGTGTCATCAGCGCCATAACCTCATACAGCCCCATAACTGCCTCCCCAACTGCCTCAGGCTAATATAGTGACCACATGAACCAGATCCCATTAACTGCCTCAACACCCATCAACAAGATGGGCACCATTAACTGCCCTCCAAAAGCTGAAACTTGTAACTGTCCCCCATAACAAGTGCTTTGGACTATATTACCCCTAAGACAGGAGCCAGACCCCATAAGTCAATAATGGGGCACAGGGGGCACCCACACAGCTGAGAGGTTCACACAGCCCCACACCAGCCCCCAGCACAACTGGGGTTTTGTCTTTATTTATAGAGCAGCTTGTTCCAAACAGAGCACAGGGCCCCTCCTCACTGATCTCTGCTGATCCAGAGCATTTCCCACCCCTCAAAGCAGCCTCTTCCCACTCCTGGAGCTTGGCCACAGCAGGCCTGAGCCAAGCTGCTGCGCACAGCCCTGGCACCATTGTAGGGCACCTTCTTGGGCCACTGGTCCATGACAACAGGCTCCATAAGGTAGGGACAGCCCCAACCCTAAGAGAGGGCACCAGGACAATGGGCTCAGTCCATCTTGGTGGGCTCTTTCTTCTTCTGCCTGGCCTCCCGGATGATCTTGGCCAGGGAGAGGAGGATGGGGACAGCCATGGGCAGGAAGAGCGGGATGTAAATGGCAAATTTCTGGTCATCAGGGAAGTAGAGGAGATGGAGGAGAGATGGGTCAAAGAAGGCTCGCTCCGAGGACGTGGCTGCCTCCTTGCTGGCCTGGAAGGCTGGGTGCAGATGGCCTGCGGCCAGCTTGTCCATGGCGCTCTGTGCTGAGGCCACTGCTCGGTACACCTGCATGGGAACAACACCAATGGTCAGGTCCTGGATAGGGAGGACCAGAGAAGCCTGGGCTCTCACCCACAGCAGCACCCGGCCCCCACCTCAGGGTGCTCCAGCCCTACCTCAGAGGCAACATCATCTTTGATGACGATGTTCCCGATCTTGTCCAGGAGCTGGGCCAGCGAGGTCAAGGTGGTGGAGACGGTGGCGATGTTCTCCACGGTGTGCGCCCAGAGCAGGCGGTCCAGCTCCCAGTCAGCCAGCCCCTCATTCCCAGGGCTCTCCAGCAGGAACTCTGGGGGCAGCTCTTCCCGAGATAACCCAAAGAGTAATCTGGGATAAAAGGGAAGGTTCCAGCCCACATCACACACCTGCAGACCCACACGTGCTCCCTGCTTTTCCCTTTCCCTGCTTCATTCAGTCCTAGCAGGGCTCAACTGTGCCTAATGGCCTGGCTCCAACCCCACTGATTTCCACATGGGCCAAGGGAGCACACAGAGGCCTGGGGAGCGAAGAGAACATCCTCACCGGAGCTGGGCCAGGAAAATCTCCATCACTCGCGCCATGTCCACATCCACGCGCAGCGGGAGGGAGGCTTGGGGGGAAGCAGGAGGTTCCACATTGTAAACCTATAGGAAAACATGTCAGTGAGGCACAAGAGCCCTGGGGCTGGCAGGGCCACCAGCACTGTGAGGATGAGGAGCCACCACCGTAGCCAGCAACCCCAATGGCCCCTTACCACGATGCCGCCCCAGCGAGGGCTGTGGAAGGCATTGGTGCTCACAGGGGCTCCATCCTTATCCTGGATGTACAGAGGAGAATGGGAGCGCTCCGGAACATACAGCAGGAAGTTTAGCACGGGGTAGAGTGAGGCAGCGCTGGAGCCTGCAGCGGGATAGAGCCAAAGAACCCCCCTGGATGGTGGGGATGGTGAGAGAAGAACCCAGCCCTGCTCCTCCTTGCACAGCAAGACACTGCTTGCTCGGTCACCCTCACTGCCATCGGGGGTTGCAGGGCACGGAGGGGACACAGGCCATAGACCTCAGCAGAGCCTGGCCAGGAGCACAGTGCTCACCCAGCCGGGCCTCCACGGGGTTGATGACGTGCGGGAGGCTGTGAGCACTCAGGAGGAAGCTGGAGGACTCCTTGTCATAGCGCGGCGTCACTCCTAGGACGGCATAGTACAGGATCTGCAGGCACACGGCAAAGGCGTTGCTGGCAGAGCAGCACGTCCCAGGGCACCCAGGGACAGCAGGGCTGGGCTCCCCCCTTCGCCTCTCCTAACCCTCACCTGTGAATCAACAGAGAAGTTGGCCACCAAGTTCAGTTTGTCCAGGACGGGCTGCACGTAGCGGCTCACAGCATCCTCGATGGCCCAGTGCACATCGTGGGACTTGGGGTCGGGGTTCAGGAGGCTGAAGGTGATCTCGTACCCTGCCAAGGACACACAGCCTGTGAGGCACCAGCACAGGCAGTGCCAGTGGATGCTGCGGCTGGGCAAGAGCAGCAGGAGCTGACACCCTCCTCCAAGCTCCTTCCCAAAGTGGGGTCATGGACCCATGCCCCAGCACACAGCAAGGGCAAAGGGAAGACCCTGGTGTCTGTTACCGCAGAAGACACCCGGGGATGGTACTAGGACAGCAGGAATGGGATGTTCCCCGACAGACAGAGGACAGGGAATGGGGCTGCAGGGTCACATCCATACCCAGGCTGGATTTCAAGTTCCTCCGGGCATCGGGGCCAGGCTGGCCATTGGGCACACGGTCTGAGAGGGCAGCAGTGATGGAGCTGGCAGTGAAGGACATCACCTGAGTGAGCTCCTGGAGGCGGGAGCGGAGGGCGGGCAGCATCCCCACAGCCCTCACCAGGGCACTGCGGTGCTTCCCCACGTAGGCATTGATCCCCTGGGAAAAGGGCAGGGATGAGAGCGGGCTCCTGCCAACACGGTGGAAAACAGCACCGTGGTGCCTGCTGAGACAGCCTGGGGATGGATGCCTCCCCAGGGCACCTTTGAGGGGTGAAGTGTGAAGAGGCTGGCACCACAGGGTGCTGCTCCCTACCTGAGGCAGGAGAGGGGAGGTTTCAGGAACCACGTACATGGTCAGAGAGCCCAAGGAGGTGCCCTGCAGCAGGTGCAGAGCAGCGTCAGCCTCTGGGGAAGACAAAGGCGTTAGAAAGGCTAGGAATCCCACTCCAATCCCCATCCCACAGCCTCTGAAGGAAGAGGGTGTTCCCCCTGCTCCCACACACCCTCATCCTGGTACCTCGTGCAGTAGCCGCATCCAGCGCTGCCTCCTCCTGAGCCGTGGTGCTGCGATAGAGCATCTCGTAGCGGGACGTGACACTGGTTCTCACTGACAGGGAGGGGGACAGAACCTGAGCGAATCCATTAATCCCAGTTCCCTAGTCCTTCATAGGACTAAGAAGGACAAGGGACAACCCCAGGGGGCACACACCACAGGATCCTTTGGGCACCAAGCTCAGGTGAGTGACATACCATGGCATGTAGCCTTATCCGGGAGGGCAGCCCCACGCCATGCAGGGCGCATCCCCCCCTCCAAGGACTGACTTTGTCCCTATCCCTAGGGAAAGGAAGTGGTTTATTTCCTGTGGCACCCTGGGCACGTTGCTGTCCCCATTCCTCCCCGGTACAGCACCGGGCACTGCTGGTGATCGCGTGTCTGGGGACCCCGCAGGGAAGGAAGGCCGAACGCCCCCCCCCCCCCCGGCGGGCCGGTCGGCGCAAGGACACCCGCAGGCTCTCACCGTTCACCGGTATCTCCATCTCCTGCACGTCCCGGAACGGCAGCGGCCGCAGCAGGTCCCGGGGCACCGACCCCGGCGCGAACACCACAGCGACGGGCACCGAGAGCTGGAACTGAAGCGGCGGCGGCAGCGTCAGCCCGAGCCGCTGCCCCGCGGAGCCCCGCTCCCGACCCTCACTCACCGGCAGCCGGGCCAGCCCCGCGATGTCGCCGTAGGGCAGCGCGGCGCGGTACGTCTCGGTCGTTCTCCACCACAGCGGCAGCCCCAGCACCACGGCGATGGTCGCGAAGGACAGCGCGGCCCGACGGCCCCGCGCCCGCTCTGCGGGGACAGCGCTCAGCAAAGGGACCGGCGAGACGGACCGGGACCGGGACCGGGACCGGGACCGGGACCGGGGCCGGGGCTACCGGTACCTGCTTCATCCGCCGCCAGCGCCGCCGCCATCTTCCCTTCCTGTCTCAGCCGACGGGGCGGTGCCTATGTCAAACCCAGCCATTCAGAGCGCCCATTTCCTTACAACGGCCAATGGGCGTGGAGATCGGAGAGCGGCGGAGTAGACGGGCAGGTAAAGGGACCAATCAGAGCATGGCAGTGGGCCTGAGGAGGTGGGGTTTGGCGGCATGGCCGCTATGGGTGCTGAGGAGGGACAAGCGGTGCCCCTGTGGGTGTCTGAGCACCGCGGTTGGGAATGGGGCAGGAAAAGGGGCAGCGGAGGGGCAGAGGCTTCCCACCGGCCCCATAGCCCATAGAGAGCTCCCGATCACACCCCCCTCCCGGGATCCCATAGCCCCGCTGTGTGTGTGTGTGTGCGCTGAGACCGGGCGCAGCTCATCGCACGTGTGAGCACAACCCCGAGGGACGGGGCAGCCCGCGATGGGGCAGCGCACGGTGCCCCAGGGCCCCGCGGCGAGGGAGGAGGCGGCGCGGCGCTGTCTCTACCGTTTATTCGCTGTTAGGCTATTTGGTACACATGGGGTGCACATGGCGAACACAACACAGGCGCCCCGAGGGCGGCAGCAACCGGGACTGCGAAGCTACGGCAGGGCAGGGGCACTCCCCACACACACCTCCCCTCCTGCCCCCCCCCACGCGGCCTGGCCGGAGCCCCCCCACACCAAAAAGGGGCACCCGGGTGTTTCCCTTCAAGGGGGCCGGGTATAACCAGGGCCCCCCCTCCCCACATTTCATCTGCGTGGGGCCGGCCCGTGGGGCGCGCTCCCCTTCCCCTCCCCGCGTGGCGGCTCCCCTGGGTGGCTGGGGGGGAAGCGGGGTGTGAGCGGTGGCAGGGAGGGGGCCGCTGGGGTGCACGCAGGGGGCTCAGTAAGCGTGGTTGGCCACGTACAGGGACTGCCCGGCGGCCCCCGAGTCGTCCCCGCTGCCCTCGTACTTGCCCAGCGCCGCCAGCCCGTTCACCTGCAGGGAGAGGAGACATCAGTGACCTCCATGGGTACAGCCCTTGGGGTCCCCCAGCTCATGGGGACACAGCCCTTTGGGGTCCCCTGCAACACCACAGCCCTTGGCCTCCTCCTCCCATGGGGACAGAGCGCTTGGCATCCCCCATCTCACCAGGCACAACCCTTGGTGGAGCCCCTGTGGGGTAACCACAGGACACTGCTTTTGGCATCACTCTTCCCATAGGGACCCAGTTGTCAATGTCCCGTGTCACCCATGGGGACACAGCCTTTGGCATCCCCATTTTCCCATGGGGACCAAACTCTCACTGTCCCCCATGGACACAATGCTGCATCCCCTCCATGGGGACCATGGCATCCCTTGTCCTATGGGGCACAGCCCTCGGTGTCTCCCATCACCCTCACATCCCCTGTCCCAAGGGGCATCGTCCCTGGTGCCACCCCATCACCTCTGCGCGCTTGACGAACTCCTCGGTGGCGGCGGTGGCGTTGTCCCTCTGCCCGCGCCAGGCGCTCAGCGCCGACGCCTGCAGCGCCCGCCCATAGGAGAAGGTGAGAGCCCATGGCCGCACCAGCGGGCACGTGTTGATGGCGTTGAGGTTGATGGAAGCCTCCTCCTCGCTCTGACCCCCGGACAGGAAGGTGACACCTGCAGACAGCGGGGTTATGGCTCACTGCGAGGGGCCGCAGGGCAATCCCCCTTTTGGTGCCCACCATGTCCTGGTGCTGGTACCTGGCACGGCGGGGGGCACGGTGCGGCGCAGGGCAGTGACAGTGGCCATGGCGATCTCCTCGGGGCTGTACTTGGTGGGGCAGGAGTGCCCTGGGGTCACCATGTTGGGCTTCAGCAGGGTGCCCTCCAGGTAGACGTGGTGGTCGCTCAGTGCCTTGTAGACAGCTGCCAGCACCTAGTGGGGACAGGCAGCATGGAGTCCCTCTGGCACAGCACAGCACAGCACAGCGTGGCACCGTGCCTGCCCTGTTGCCCACCCCAACACTCACCTTCTCCGTCACGTACTGGCACCGCTTGAGGTCGTGGTCACCATCAGGCAGGATCTCTGGCTCCACGATGGGCACGATGCCATTCTGCAAACACCACACAGATGCCATCATAGGGATGTCCATGGATATTCCCATGGGGACCAGTGACTGGAGCTGGGGTGGGATGCTCAGCCCCAAGGCTCAATGCCCAGCCCCATGAAGCAATGCCTGTTCCCATGAATCCATGCCTGATCCCATGGGTGATGCCCACCCCATGGGGCAATGCCTGGTTCTGGGTGTCAATGCCCGTCCATGTGCAGCGTTGCCTAGCCGATGGGTTGATGTCCAGCTCCATGGGGCGATAGCCAGGCACGGGGCAATGCTGAGCCCCATGGATCTGTGGGGTCAACACCCATCCTATGGGTCAATGCCCATCCTGTGGGGCGATGCCTGGCCACAGACACATACCTGCTGGCAGATGCTGGCATAGCGGGCCAGGACGTTGGCGTTCTCCATGATGGCGAGTGCAGAGGGGGTGTTGTCACTGATCTTCAGCACACAGCGCCACTTGGCAAAGTCAGCCCCATCCTTCTTGTACTGGGCACAACGCTCGGACAGCCCATCCAGACCTGCCAGACAGCGTGTCAGCCCCACAGCCCCAAACCCCACTGCCCCCATCCCACTACCTGCTGCACCTACCCTGCGTGGTGGTCTCGCCATCGGTCCCAGCCAGCGGCACAACACCCTTGTCTACCTGTAGAGAGAAGGAGACGGCGGCGCTGAGCCCCACCAGCACCCTCCAAGCACCCCACAAACCCACCGGACACCCCCCACACCTTGATGCCCACGACGATGCCCTTATCCTTGATCATCTGCACAAAGGGGGTTCCGTCGTCAGCCTTCTGGTACATGGTCTCGTGGAAGAAGATGACCCCCCCAATGCATTTCTTCACCCGGCTGTCGGCGCTGAAGAGGATCTGGCGGTACAGCCGGCGGTTCTCCTCCGTGTTCTCCACTCCAATCTGGTTGAGGCGCTTCGCCATGCTCCCTGCGGGCACCCAGCACCCTCATCAGCCTCGGGTGCAACGGAGGAAGGGGTGTCGGGACGGATTCCCCCCCAAAGCCACTGACCTACGGACTCATCAGCAGCCAAGATGCCCTTGCCCGGGGCCACGATGCGCAGCGCGATGTCCGACAGCTCCTTCTTCTGCTCGGCCGTCAGCGCGGGGTATTGGTGCGTCATGGTGGCGGCTGCGAGCAGACGGGCTCTGAGTCACGCACCGACGGGGCGGCACCTCCGTCTGCCACCGGTACCGGGGACCCCCCCCCCACGGGGCGGGCGCGTTGCATCAGCAGGCTGCTGCCCTTACCCCGGCCCGGCCCGGGCCTCGTGGAGGATGCCGGGGAGCTCCCAGCCATTTTGCTGCCTGCTCGCCCGCCCCCAGCCCAGCCATCTTGAGGGAGCGCAGCACCACCGGGCAGCGACGGGACACGGGGGGAGCGGGGATGGAGATACCCCGGAGCCGGGGGTACCCCGCGGGGAACGGCGGCAGCGCGGGGATGGGGTCACCGGGGAAGGGAGAGGCGGAAACACGCCGGGAATGGCGCTACCCGGGGAGGGATGGATGGAATGGACCCAAGGGGTGGCACTACCCGAGATCTGCGGTACCCCGAGGTTTGGGGTACCCCGAGGCTGCCGCCGTCCGGGCCCGGTGCGTCCCACCGGGGCGGCGATCCCCGGCCGCACCGCCTGGGCTCGGGCTGCGCCAGCGCAAGGGCTGGCTCCGGGCTCCCCCCATCCAACAACACCCCCCTGCCCGGGGTTCGTCCGCTCCGGAGCCCCCCCAGCCCTGCCCGACCCCCGGGATGGCGTCGTACGGATGCATCCCGGAGCCCCGGTGGGGCGGCCGGGTCCCACCGATGGGGTCTCCCCCCCCGACCCCCGTTCCCCACCACCACCCCCGGTCTCCCGGTCCCCCTTTTACCGTGCAGGGCGGGCGGCGGCGAGCGGACTGCGGGCTGCGCGCTCCGGCCCCGCGGTAAATGGGGCTGCGGTGCCGCAGAGCTACGTGACCGGCGGGCGGCACCCGGCAGGACCGGCCCCCCGGCCCGCTCCGCTCCGCCCCCCTCGCCGCCGCCCGCACACCCCCCGCTGGCGGCAACCGCTGCTCCTGCCCGTGATGGGGGCCCCGGGGCTATAACCCCGGCTGGGACCCTGATGTGCCCCCCTGGTGCCGCTGCGGGATACAGGCAGGGACCTTCCCCATCACCTCCGGAGCAGGGACCTCCCTAGCCCTGCTATTACCGCTGCCAGCTACAGGTGGGGACCATCCCCTCATCACCCCAAAGGCAGGGACCCCCTTGTGTCACCCTCCAGGCTGGGGACCCCCTTGTGCTCCCCTATTACCACTGTCAGGTACAGGCAGGAAACTTCCCCCTCATCATCTCCAGGCCAAGGACCCCTCTGTCCCCCGTGTATTACCACTGCCAGCTACAAGCAGGGACCTTCCCTTCATCACCCCAAAGGCAGGGACCCCCCTGTTCCACCCTCAGGCTCGGGACCCCACTGTGTGCCATCTTACTCCCACTATCAGCTAGAAGCAGGCACCTTCCCCTCATCACCTCTGGACCAGGGACCCCACTGTCCCCCCCTACCCATTACCACTGTCAGCTACATGCAGAGTCCTTCCCCATCACCTCTGGACCAAAGACCCCCCTGTGCCACCCCCCTGCTGCCACCCCATTGAGACCCCAAGCCCCAGCAGCACAGGCCATTGTGGGGGGGGGTTCTGAGCCCCCCAAAAGCCGCCGGGATCCGGAGCAGGGACAATAGCAGTGTCCGGGCCCGCTGCCAGCACCCGGCTCTGCTGAATCCCCGCCGTAAAAGGAGGGCTCATGCACCCTGCATGGCCCTAATCCCGGGAATAGGAGCGCATCTCCTCCTGCATCCCAGCTCCAGCCAGCCTGGGGGGGGGGGGGCTGTATCCCACTCCCTGCCGGCAGGGAGGGACACAATGAGGAAGCAGCGAGTGCTGCTTCCCCGTGATCCATTTACACACCCAGTGACCAGAATCGCAACCCTGAACACCTCCGTTTCCTGGGTGCAAGGGTAAATAAAGGTGCCAGCACCCTGGGTGTTGCAACACCCGCCCCAGACAGGGCGCAGGGCTGCGGCAGAGGGCAGGGGAATGTCATATCCCCCCCCCTCCCTCCAGGCATGGAGAAACGGGCCATTAAAAACCAGAGCACTTGTTGGAACGCTGCTATTTTGGGCTGTGAGAAGGGAGGGAGGCGCTAGCCTGGCCCCCCTGGTGACAGGGAGCATCCTTGGGGTCGGGAACACCGGGAGGGGGATCCCGCAGGAGATGCCCCAGTAGGGAAGGAGGGAGATGAGGATGGAACCGTGCTGGGAGCAGGGGAGCCCCCACAGGAGGCCCCCAAGCAGCAGCAGGGGACAAGGGGGGGCTGGGAGCAGGAGCTGGCTGAGCTCCCAGTGCCTGGCTGGCAGCTCTCACAGCACCCAGGGGATGCTGCGGATCAGGTCAGGCACAGACAGAACTGGGTCTGGCCAGGGATGTCCGAGATAACAGGAAGGGCTCCTATGCATTGCTACCAAATGGAAGGCTTGGGATAACGTGGGCCCTCTCCAGGAGGAAACGGGAGAACCGGTGACCCTGGATTTGAGGAATGAAGTCTTCACGATGCTTTGACCACGCTGCTCAAGTCTTGGAAGGCAGAAGCAGGGACTGGGAAAGGATCAGGCTCGAGATCATCTTAGAAACTTGAATGTGCACAAGTCCATGGGACCTGATGAAACAGGTTTAAAGTGAAACAGAGGAAGGTCAGGTCAGATACAAGGAGGAAGTTCAACGGTGAGACCGTGGAACAAGTTGTCCAAAGAAGAGGTAAATGACCCATCCCTGTTCAAGGCCGGGTTGGACAGAGCCTTGGGTGACATGGTCTCATGTGAGGTGTCCCTGCCCATGGCAGGGGATTGGAACTGGATGACCTTAAGGTCCTTTCCACCCCTAAACATTATGATTCTATGCTGCTTCATGCCAAAGGCCCACTGTGAATGGGGAAAACCATCCCCACACCCCCCATGTGCTGGAGGTGCAGGATGCAGCCTCGGGTACCCCCGCAGTGGGGAGGCAGGAGGGAGGCACAGAGGGAATCTAGGGCAGGAGGAGGAGCCGTGCTGCTGCCTGAGGAACACGGTGCCTGTTCCCTGCCAAGCAGGAGAGGCCCTGGGGTGGCAGGGAGCCGTGCCCGTGGCCCCGTGACAGGGATGGAGCGGGAGCAGGCGGCACAAGCCGGACCAGTTGTCCCCACCCAGGGCACCAGGAGCTTCCTGCATCCAGCACACGGGGCAGGGTGAATGCCAACACAACTTTATTCAATAAATAATTACAGCATTAACAAGGGGAAGGTTTCACCCCGGGGGCTATAGCGGCTCCGCAGCCTCTTTGCTGACACTCTCCGGCTTCAAGCCCAGGTACCGCAGCAGGCTGTGATGCTCCTGGCACGCCAGGGCCACATCAGGGACAGCCACCAGGACCTGGGGATGGCAGCAGAGTTAGGGACAGTGGTGGAGCTGCAGTCACAGCAAGGGTGAGAGCAATGAGCAACCCTCACCTCCTTCATCTTCTCCTGCATCTCCTCATGGCTCCTCAGCACTTTCTGGATGCGATGGAGCCGCAGCTCCAGCCCTTGGACCTGTGGTGGGAGATGCCTGTCAGGAACCTGACCTAAAGCTGTTCAGGGAATAGGGGGACTAAACCCAGGGCTCCCCCATACCTTATCTGAGAGCCGCTGGTTCTCATCCACCTTCTCCAGGAGCAGCAGCCGCAGTTTGCCCATCTGCAACAAGAGCAAAGCATCACTGTGGGGCAAGAGCCAAGGTGGGGGGGCCCTGTCCATGGGGTCCTGCAGGATGGGACATGACAGCAGACACCCCCCCACACCCCCCAGCCTCACCTCCTGCTGCTGCAGCACTCGCTCCCGCACATGGACAGTGTCCTCCTTGGGTCTCTGTTCCCTCATCTCCTCCCACAGCACCTTGGCCTCTGTCTCTGCACGCTGCAGCGAGCGCTTCAGCTGGAAAACCTCTTCCTTCAGACTCTATGAGGGAAAGGAGGTGCTGAGAGGGGGGTCCTGGAGCCTGCATCCCCGGGCATGCGGCCCAGAACAGCCCCCATCACGCACCGTGACTTCCCCACTCTTGTCGATGAGTTGCAGCATCTTCTCTTCCTGTCGTTTCACCACGTCCTGCAGCTCCTTCTCACTCTACAGAGGGGGAAGAAGCAGTGTCAGGGAGTTCCTGGCCCTGGGTGCCCTCAGTGCCCGAGGGGGGAGCAGGTTTTGTCCCGTTCAAGAAGGTCAGACGAGCCAGGAGCACCCACGGGGCACCTCCAGAGCCGGTCACCCAGATTCCTCCGTGTCCTAGATCAGCGCCTGTCCCAGTTCGGCTCTGCCCTGGCCTGAGTGCTGGCCCACTTCTGGCATCAGCTCACCTCGAGCTTGCCCCTCAGCGCCTTGTTCAGCTTGACGATGGTGGCAGCCTGGGCATCGATCTTCTCCTGGCTCTCCGTTGTCACCGTCTCCAAACGGAGCTGCAGGTTGGAGCTGGGAGAGGACAACGCCAGTGCTCAGGGGATGGGGATCACAGCCGAGCACGGTGCCGGGTACCAACCCCCCTCCTGGGCATCCCACCAGCTGGAAAACCCAGGGCTGGGGTAAGAGCAGGTCCCCCAGGCAAGGCTGCTCATGGCCATTCCCTCAACGTGAGCCCCACTGAGCTCACATCTCTGTCTGCAGCGCCTTGAACTCGCTCTGCTCCAGGTCCTGGATGCGGCAGCTCAGCATGGCGAGGTCGGACACCACGGACCTCAGCTGCTTCACGCTCTCCAGCAAACCATCCTCAGGCTCTGTGGGCAGGGCAGAGGCTCGTGAGAGAACATCAGGGGACACAGAGCCAAGCAGGAAGGCGTCCTGAGCATCCCCCATGCAGAGCCCAGGGCAGGGTGACAGCCCCGGTACCTATTGCCTTTGGTGTAGCAGCAGGTTTGTCCTTGGTAAATGCACTCCCAACTCCAGCAGCTTCATCAGCATCTGCAAGAGGAGAGGGCAGATGCTCTGTGCCTTGTGTGCTGCAGGGAGCACAACTTGAGCTCGCATCCATCGCAGGGCGCTCAGAGGAGACCCTGGATGCTTGCTGGAGCCACGACCTAACCCATAGCTTCTACAAGGGGAAATCCAGGCACTCCCAGGGAGGGCAGGAGGAAGGGATCCCCATCCCAGCCATGCAGTGGGTACCAGCTCACCTTCCCCACACACGGCTTTCAGGACGCTGCCCACAAAGGAGCTCGCTATGGCACGGTGTGGGGTCCGGAACATCGGCGTGCGGCAGGCGGGGGTCCGGACACGGTATGGGGTCTGCCAGCCTGGAGTACGTGGGACCGGGGTCCAGGCTCTGCTTCTCGATGGGGCAGCAGCATCATCATCATCATCCTTCAGAGGGGAGGAAGAGCAGAGCAGAGCGGTGACTGCTCTGCCATGGCAACGGGGGGCTCAAAGCGTGGGGTGTCTGCCTGCTCCTCAGGCCACCCCCAAGGCAAAGCTCCCACCTCCTCCTGCAGAGCAGCCCTGAGGCACTCAGCGAGCTCCTGCAGCCGCATCTTGCTCTCCACGATGTCCTTGGAGCACCAGGAGACTTTGTTCCTCTTAAGCTGCAAGTCGAGGAGCTCGGCCTTGGTGCTCTCCAGCTCCTTGCTGAGGGCAGCCCGCTCTTCCCTGCAGGATGGCATCAGCCTCAGTGGGGGCAGCATTCCCCTTCCTCAGCGTGGGATGGGGACATTTCCCATGCCTGCCTCCCACCTAAAACCTCACGGATTTAGGTAGTTTTCCCCCCAGGATGGGGTGTACCAGCCTTTCCCGCAGCCCTTTCCACCCACCTGAGCAACTACACCAGAGCCATGTCCCACTTTGGATCCCCCACCCTCCAAAAGGGGCTCGATTCCCCCCAAACCAGAAGGGGTTCCAGCAGTGCCCAGTACCGCAGGCGCTGGTGGGAATCCATCAGCTCCTCGTGCTGCTGGCTGCACTCCTGCAGCGTGTCCAGCGTGGACCTCAGCCTGGCCTCCACCTCCAGCAGCTGAGTGCGGGACATTTGGTTCTCCTGCTCCAGGAACTGCAAGAGGATGGGGGGGACGCAGCCATGGATGAGGGGTCCCATTGGCACACTCCCTCCTACTCCTCAGGGTGCTGTTTCCTATCAGGGGCAGCTTTACCCCTGAAGACCAGCGGGGACACAGGGCAGTTTGGGGGGACAACACCACATCTACATCCAGTGGGAAAACTATCCTGGAGAGCTTTCCCGGCCATCACTGCTGCAGGAGGAGTTGCTGCACTACGTGCAGGAAGCCAACCGCCCTCATCCCCCTGCTACGGAAGGGCTAATCCTGCTCCTGGCCAGCCTCCAGCATTCCCGTGAGGACATGATGGGAGCTGGCAGCGCGTGATGGTGTGGGCAGGGTCAGGCAGCTCCTACCTCCCGGCACTCGGTTGCCTCCCGCAGCTCCTGGCACAATCCATTGCGTTCCCGCTGCAGCGCTTCCCGCTCCCGCGCCAGCCTGCGGGCGTGGGGTGGGATCAGGGATGGCAGGAGGTGGCTATGGGGCCACACACACAGCCCCCAATGCCCTGCCCCGGGGCTCGCAACCCACCAGGCCATCTCTTCTTGCTGCTTCTCGTTCTCCTGCTGCAGCGCATCCCGCTCCTGCTGCCGTGCATCCCGCTCCTGCTCCAGGCTGGCCAGGCTGGTCATCAGGGAGCTGTGGTCTGCAAGGGCCAGAGCTCTCAGTGTAGGGGGGGACACAGGGGCAGCTCCAGCCCCACATCATCACCCATACCTGCGCTGAGGCGCGAGTTGGCCACTGTCAACTGCTCCAGCTTAGCCACCGTGTCCTGCAGGGCCACCGAGGTCTCCTCCAGCTGGCGAGACGCCTGCAGAGACGCAGTGTGCTCTGGGCTTGCTTCGGGATGCTCTTCCCTATGGGGTACCCCCAAATCACCCCCTGCCTGGGGCCAGCCAGCACAAGGTAACACCCTACCTCTTGCTCGGCTTGGAGGGCTTCATCCGCTCGCTGCCTCATGGCATCCCGCTCCTCCAGGCAGCTCTGCAGCTTGCTGGGAACCCTTTCCAGCAGGGCCTGGCACCGGGACACCAGGGCCCTCGCCTGCTCCCGCTGCGAGAGGAGACAGTGATGGGTACGGGTGATGTCTGCTGCGTGTGCCAGGGTTCCCAAATCCATAGGGAAGGGGTCCAGCCCGGCCCCACAGGGTCTCACCTCCTGGGCGAGTGCTCTCTGCTCATCCCGCAGGCTCTGGAGAGAGGCATCCGTGAGACCCTGGAACAGGAGGCGCTGCCTGCTCCAGGCACCCTGGGGAAGGGACAAGGACACCGGTGCTCAGGCTGAGCACAGTCCCCCTCCCCACACACACACACACTGTGCCCGGCTGAGACCCATGGCACGGCACGCATCCGACACACACCATGCCCTCCACGGCCGTCTTCAGCTCCCGATGCAGGTCCTGCTCCACTCCCCGCTGCCGCTGCAGAGCATCCGTCCTCCTCCGCAGCTCGAGGTAGAGGTTGCGGTAGATCTCCTCCTCCTAAGGGCACCATGGCAGAGCAGAGGGGACTTAGCACCAGCCCTGCTCCACTGCTTAGCCGTGACCCTCCCGTCCTGCCCCCAACATGTGCCAGGGATGCTTCCCCGCACAAAGGGATCAAATCCAGCAAGCTCAGCGGGTTGAGCCAGGCGAGAGAACACGGTGGGAGCAGTGCTGGGTGCTTTACTTCCACTCCACTGGGCTGTGAAGCCACGGTCCCACCAGCAGCACCAATGCTGCAGGGAGCAGGGTACCATCGCCCCAGTGAGGACTCTTACCCCTTTGGGGTGGGTGACATCGGTCTGGGTGAGCGCATCCCTCTGCTCAGCCGGCCCCACGCCAGGCAGGGCCCGCTGGTTCTCGTTCCAGCCCCGCAGCTGAAGCGACAGGGCCTCGATGATGATGAGGGTGCTCTCCAGCCGCCCCTCCAGCTCTGCCCGTGGCAGGGACTTCAGCTGCTCCCGGGGACAGCTGGGGACAGAGAGAGGGCTTGGTGCAGGGCCAGCCCACGAGTGCCATAGCACTGCCCCAGGGGGATGCTCGGCCCTACACTTACTGCCAGAGCAGGGAGTCTGTTTCGGCAGCGCTGTCCTTGGCACAGGGAGGGGGACCCGTGGATGTGTTGGTGCTGCTCTCCCGCAGGTCCCGCGGGGTCATGAAGGTGCCGGTGACTGTGGTGGGCACTGGGGTGACGCTGGTGCCAATGGTTGCAGCGGGCGCAGGGGTGACGCTGGTGCCAATGGCTGCAGTGGGCGCAGGGGTGACGCTGGTGCCAATGGTTACAGCGGGCACAGGGGTGACGCTGGTGCCAATGGTTACAGCGGGCACAGGGGTGACGCTGGTGCCAATCGTTACAGCGGGCACAGGGGTGACGCTGGTGCCAATGGTTACAGCGGGCACAGGGGTGACGCTGGTGCCAATCGTTACAGCGGGCACAGGGGTGACGCTGGTGCCAATGGTTGCAGCGGGCACAGGGGTGACGCTGGTGCCAGTGGTTGCAATAGGCACTGGGGTGATGTTGGTGCCAATGTCCCGCCGTGGCAGGGTTAAGCTGTGCCGCAGGGACTCCAGCAGGGATGAGGAGTTGAGGCTCTTCTCCAGCCACACTAATGGCAGCACCCAGGACACAGCACCCAAGGCCACCTCGGGTGAGGGGATGGGGGTAGCTGTTCCCTCCAGTGCAGCAGGCTCTGACCTGCCTGCCTCAATGGGAGGGGATGCAGGGGGTCCCTGCTCTTGTGGGGCAGGGGATGGGGACTTGGCTTCCTCAGGGGTGTCTTGGCAAGGCAGGGAACCAACACCCTCATCTGCAGATGGGGGCTCAGGGGCCACGGGGCTGCAGGAGAAGTCAGAGGGTGCCACTCGCCACCCATGGAAGGGACCTTCCTGTGGGGTGGAGGTGGTGCCGGGGGGGCCTGGGGTGCAGGAGTCTGAGCTGGTGCTGCCTGAGGACCCAGGGGTGCAGGGTGCTATTGTGGTGCTGTCTGGAGAGTTTGGGGTGCAAGGCACTGAGCTGATGATGCTGGGCTGGCCTGAAGTAGGACTGCTGGGGGGCTCCAGGATGCAGGGACCTGGGGTGGGATTGCTGGGGGGCTCCAGAACACAGGGATCTGGGGTGGGACTGCTGGGGAGCTCTAGGACACAGGGATCTGGGGTGGGACTGCTGGGGGGCTCCAGAACACAGGGATCTGGGGTGGGACTGCTGGGGGGCTCCATGTTGCCGGGCCCTGGGATAGAGCTGTCCAGGGCTGCTTGCACCGTGCTGCTGGGGGTGGTGCGGGGCCCTTGGGGTGGAGCTGCCAGGGAGCTCTGGGTTGGTCCAATTGGGCGGCTCAGGGGCACTGGGCACCAGGGTGGGAGTCCTGGGAGGCTCCAAGACACTGGGACCCAGGGAGAGAGTCCCAGGGGCCTCCGGGATGGTGTTGCTGGGGGGCCCCGGGGTGCAAGGCAGTAGAGTGCTGCTGCGGGGGGGAGGCAGGACAGCACTTCGGGGGCATCCTAGAGCACAAGGCACGGGGTTACACTGCTGCGGGGGCCACGGGTGCAGGGCACTGGGGTGGCACAGTCATGGTCCTAAAGGAGATGGGAAGGGGTGGTCAGGGTGGGCCCCCAGCACCCCAACCTCCCCATTGCCCTCACCCCAATGCATCCAACGATCCCGCTATTGCCCCCCCGCCCCAACACCCCCTCCCGTTAACCGGTCCCCATCCCGACCTTGAGCCGCAGCCGGTGGAGCAGCGGGGTGAGGCTGGTGCGCTCCGCGCCCGGCTGCAGCCGCAGCTCCTGCAGTGGGGTTGCGCCGGGGCCGCTGCTGCGCCTGGGGAGGAGGGGACGGGGAGGGGAGCACCGGGGGTCACCGGCGGCACAACCCCCCCCGTATGCACACACCGGAAACACACCGGAGCGCTCCGGGCCCCCCCACCCCACCGCCCCCCACGGCAGCCCCGCACGGTCGGGGCCACCCCGTTGGGCCCCACTCGGGGCTCCCCCGGCCCGCACTCACGGCGGGGGGTCCTGGAGGCCCGCATGGCCCCGCTCCGGTCACTCCCGGTCCCGATCCCGGTCCCGCCGCCTCCCGCACGCCGCCGCCGCCGCCCGTTTGAAAACCCACGCTGCGCTCTGATTGGTTGCTCAGCGCACGCGTCACTCCGCAGGGCGAGGCCGTTATGGGCGGGGCTTAAGGTGAGACCACGCCCCCTCCACGCCCGCCGGTCCCGCGCAGCGCCGAGCACCGGGACCGTCGCGGGGAACGGGTCCGGTTCCCCCCCCCCCCCATCCCCGGTGCTTCCCCGGCCCTGCCCCGACCCAAGGCGGGGACCCAGCCCCGCGTCCCCGTCCCCCTCCCCGCAGGACGCCCCCGCAGCGGTGCCCGCGGCTCTCGGGTTTATTGCTCCCGCGGGAGGGGTACAAGGGGGGGGTACGGGGGAGCCCCGGCCCTGGACCGGGGTTCGGGGGGATGTCCCTGAGCGATGCCGGGGGGGATTTTGGGGGGGCTCAGCCAGAGGCATGGCCGGCCCGGGGGTGCAGTCGAAGGGACTTCGAGATCGCAGTCGAAGTCATCGAAGGTGGCGGGGGGCTGGCGGGGGCTGCTCCGGGGGCTGCGGGGCCACGGCCACCCGGCCGGGTCCTTCTGCAGGAGGTCGGCGTCGAAGGCCACAGCCGCGGAAGAAGGGGTGTCCCCTGGAAGTGATGGAGGTAGCGCAGGCGGTGCAGGGGGTTGTTGGCACAGCAGCTGGGGAGGGAGGAGGGCAGTTGAGCAGGGGGCACCCCCGGGATGGGGCCGTGGGGACCCCAAATCCCATGCGGGGCGGTTACCTCGGCCATCAGCCGCGCCAGCGCAGGGCTGAACGCGGGTGGGCTCTGGTAGCTGCTCCGCTTGACGCGCTCCAGCATGGCCACGTGGTCCCCTGCTGGTGCCACGGGGAACTGGGGGGGGCAGAAATGGATTTAGGGGCACCCCATGGAGCCCCATTATCCTCCCTACCCCATGGTCCTCACCTCCCCGCTGGCCAGAGCGAAGAGCAGGACACCCAGGGACCACCAGTCGGCTGCATGGCTGTAGGGTCCCCCACTCAGCACCTCTGGGGCTGTGGGGATGAGTAGATGAGTGCCTGGGGGGACTGTGCCCCCCATCGCAGCCCTCCCATTGCCCCCTTACCCATGTACTGCAGGGTGCCACAGATGGTGTGGGCTCGCTCGCCCCACTGCAGGTGCCGGGAGAGGCCGAAGTCAGTGAGCTTGAGGTGCCCTGTGGGGCGAGACACCACGGAGGGGACCAAGGATGGGGCGTCCCCATGGACAGGGTGTCCCCACAGATGCTGCATCCTCAAACCAGTGCCACCAGGCTCTTACCTCGCTCATCCAGGAGGATGTTCTCCATCTGAAATGAGACAGGCGCTGGGGTGGCTTCTCCATGCTGGGGGGTTCAGAGACCCCCCACCCCATCCCCGGACCCCCCAAACCCTCTGTCACCCACCTTCACGTCTCTGTGTATGATGCCCAGGTCGTGTAGGTACACTGCGGGGAAGATGGAGCCGTCAGAGCCATGGGTCCCCTCCCACAGCACCCAGCAGGCCCATCCTGCAGGTCCCCCCATCCATGGGGGCCCATGGGTGCTGTCCCCAGCATGGTGAACACTCACCCAGCACCAGCACCAGCTCGGCAGCGAACAGGCGGACGGTGGCCTCGGTGAAGGACCCAGCCGCACGCCACACGGCGGCAGGTCCCCGGTGCTGCAGTAGGTGCACACTGTGGGGACGGGTGACACGGGCATGAGGGGCATGGGAAAGGGGGGTGGCATGTGCACGGAGGGGGGGCAGGTGGGTCAATGGGGCTGCGCACCGAGGTGATGTGGCCGCTATGGGCATGCGCCGTGGGGATACAAGCCCTGGGGATAGAGGGTGGCACAAGCAGCAGGGCAATGTAGGCACCGGGATCAACATGCTAAGGTGACACGGTATGTCATACTTAGTCATACTAAGACCATATAGGAGCATGCACGTACCAGGGCCACATACAACGGTGCCAAGGAGCACTGGGGACAGGCAAGCTCCAAGGTGGGGACCGAAGTGACATGCCCCCCCCCCCCCCCCCCCCCCCCAGGGTCATACAGGCACCAGGAGCACGGAATTGACACGGGCATGGAGGCGGCACAGCCATCGGGGCCACCAGAGCTGGGGCTCCTCCTTCAGCCCCGTGTACATCCCTGCCCCCACTGCAGCTTGTCCCCATCTCCATCCCTGCAGGCTGGGAGCCATCAGCCGCGCGCCTGCATCCCCGGGGGCCGTGCGGGAGCAGGGAGGGGGGAGCGTGTGCGTGTGCGGGGACACGTGTGCTGGCGGTGGGGACACGTTGTGGGGCGGGCGGGGGGGCCGGGGGGCAGATGGTCACTCACTGATGAAGAGGTGGCGCTGGCCCTGCCAGCTGTCCCCCAGCCCGTGGACAAAGGGGTGCCTGACCTGTCTCTGGGGACACAAAGCAAAGAGGGTGAGCAGCCCCCGGGGTGGGGAATGGGGGGCATGGGGACCCCGCTTCTGCCACCCTCCCAGTGGCCTCTGCCAGCCCCATGACCACCCCATGGGCTGGGGTTCCCCCTAACCTGGATGCTGACTTCTTCCTTGCACTGTTTGAGGGTGTCTCGGCGCAGCACCTCCACTTTAGGCACGACCTGGGGGGGGGGGTGAAGGGGTGTCAGGGGGGGCTGAGGGCAGGCAGGGGTACACGTGGGTCCTTGGGGGGCAGCACCCACCTTCACGGCGCAGACCTTCTCCCGCCCGCAGTCCAGCACCTTGAGGATGGTCCCAAAAGAGCCTTTGGCCACAAAGCCCAGGATCTGGGGGGGGGGGGGGGGGGGGGGGGGGCGATCAGGGTCTGAGCACCCCATGGAGATGGGATCAGGGTGCTTGGGGTTGGAACAGGGTGTGGGGTCCTGTGTAGGGTGACACGGGGTGGTCCAGGGCACCCATGGCAGGTGATGGGGACACTTGGGGACCAGGAGGACCCGACAGGGACCACAGCGGGATGCAGGGGACCCGGTGTGGGGCACATAGGGATGGGGGACAGGGACACAGTAGGGCACACGGGGACCCCATAACGGTGCAGAGGGACCCCGGTAAGACGCACAGAGGCTTCACACCGGGGCACGGGGACCTGGCGGGGGTAGAAGGGGACACGGGGGGACGGGGAGGGGGGAAGCCGTTAAGATGTGAAGGGACGGGGCAAGGTCTTCCGAGGAGAGCCAGGGAGGCGATGCCGGGATGGCGGCACGGGGTGCACGGACAGCGCGGGAGGATGCTCGGGGCTTCGGGGAACCGGGGTAGGACGTGCAGGGGCTCCGGTAACGGGGTGCGAGGGGACCCGCCTGCCAGGGCGAGACGCGCGGGTGCCCAGAGGGGACGGTCGGGGACCCAGATTAGGATGCAGCGGGACCCCGGTAAGGGGATGGGAGCCCCGGGACTGCACCTTGAGCTGCTGCTGGCGGGCGGAGGGGCGCACCGGGAACTCCGGCAGGAAAAGCGAGACGAGCTGCGGCAGCGGCCACCCGGGCAGCGGCGGCTCCTCGGTGCTCCCCAGCGGGACCAGGGCGAGCCCCGACCCCGGTACCGGCCGGGCACGGCCCAACAGCGCCCGCACCCACGACCCCACAGCGCGGCCCTACGGAACCGGGGGGGGGGGGGCAGCGTCAGCGTTGGGGGGGGGGGGGAACACCGGGAACCGGGAGGGGGGGACCCCGGGGGCCGCCGCACGCACCTGAGGGGGCCGCACCGGGGCCGGGCCGGGGCCGCTGCTCGATGCTCCCATCGCGGCGCCGCCCCGGGCCCGGGCCCCGGTAATCCGCGGCTTTACATAACCCCGCCGCCCCGCCTCGCTCCGCTCCGCCCCGCCCGGGTGTGACAACCCCCGGGAAGCTGGGCTACCCCCTTGCACCCACCGGTGACTGCTCCCCCCCACCTCGGGGCGCTCCTCACCCTTCGGGCACCCCCTTGCACTTCCCCATCACCCACTCGTCCTCTCGTTGCATCCCCTGCTCCGGGGTACCCGGTGGGGTACCCACAGCGCCCAACACCGGGGGTGATGGGGATGCTGCGTGCCCCGAGGAAGGGCAGGGGCTGAGCTGCCGGCACCGCAGCGTGAACGGGGACACGAGGAAGGAGCCACCAAAGGGTTCCAAATTAAAAACTCTTTTATTTAAACTCTCTCCCGTTCCCCTTTCTCCCAGCCTGGAGCCATCCTGCTGCTTCCCCAGGCCCAGAACCCGC